GCCTGGTGTCCACCGTCCTACTTCACCTCTGTGGATTGGCTCCTCTAGGGACCTCATATCAGTGGGGGCACAGTATTCGTCTTCCTATGATTGTCCTCAAGGGTCATCTGTGTTGTAGCAAGTGTCGGGATTTCCTTCCTTTCTAGGCTGAGTAACGACTCCACTGTGTGGATACACCACATTTTGCTCACCCGTGGACACTGGTTTGTTTCCCCCTTTTGGGGTTGAATAATGCTGCTGTGGACGTGGATGCACGACTGTCTCTTCAAGTCAGTGCTTGAAGTTCTCCGTCAGAGGTCTGCTTACATACCAGAGTGGTGGCTTACACGGTAGTTCTGCTCAGTTTACGGCAGCTGCAGCAGTTTACACTCCTACCAACAATGCTAATTTCTCCACATCCTTGCAGTAGCCATTACTGTTGGGGAATAGTCATCCTCATGGATGTGAGGTGGGATCTCGTTGTGGTTTTGGCTTGCATTTCCCTGATGACGAGTGATGTGGAGCACCTTTTCGTGTGCTATTGGCCATTCATATGTCGTCTTTGGAGAAATGTCAATGTCATGAGGCTTTCCCCTTGTGTTTTCTTCTCAGCGTTTTTTTTATCTCATTTCAGGTCTTGGATCTATTTTGAATTTTTGTGTATGGTGTTAGGTAAGGGTTCAACGTTATTGTCTTTCATGTGCATATCCATTTTTCCCACCACCATTTGCTGGGAAGACTGTCCTTTCCCCACTGAATGGTCTTGGCACCCTTGTCAAACATCATTAGCCATATATATGAGGGTTAATTTCTGGGCTCTCTGTTCCATTTGTCTGTAGTTCTCTGTTTTATGGGTAAGAAAATGAAGACTGATAGAGAGCAAAAGGTCACATGATAAGTGGTGGTTAGGCTTCAATTTGGATGGAGGGCACCCTGGACCTCACCCTGTTCATGCAGGGACGTGGGGGAGCACAGAGGGCACATCGGACCTGTCCGGCCTTCCCACCAGATGACACTCCAGGCCAGCCAGACTGGGCCTCACGTTAAGAAAGGATCAAACTAGCTGCTCACAATTCAGAGGGTTTTCAGATAGCAATGTTCCTCTTGAAATTGCCTTCAAACAATACAAAGAACCAGAGAGGGAAACAAAGCTTCAGGGTCTTGTGGCACAGGAGATATCTGGCCCCAAGTTCCAGGGAGAAGCTGCCAGTTCCTGCCGAGAGCAGGGTGGTGCAGGAGGGCATGGGCAGGGGGACAAGGGAAGGCTTCCTGTAGGGCAGGCCCCTCCCCCACCGGGCAGGAAGTCAGAGAAACCCACCACCTGAGAGCAGGTCCGTTCAGGGCAGTGCCTCAGTCTTGGATGAGGTGCAGCCAAGTTCACCTGACGTTTGTAAAATAGCAAATCAGGAACCAGAGGAAACATCTCAGAACCCAGATGATTTATAGCCCGTGTCTCAGAGATGACCAAGGATACTGCATATGTTTAAAAAAGACCCAATTCTCTAAGAATACAGAATGAGAAATAATTCTGGGAAATTAAAAATAGAATATCTGGAAGGGGAAAAGCTAAAGAACAGAGAAAACTCTAGGGAAGAAAATTTCAAAAGGGGGGGGGGCATTTTCCAGAACTAAAGGAGGTAGGGCTAGTGTGAGAGGACACTGCAGATGGACAAGGCTAGGCTGAGGAGAAGCGCCCAGGGAGAAGGAGACCCTCCCCCTGCCCGAGGAGACAGGTGCTCCTGAGACTCAGGGAGGGGCTAGCCGTGCAGCAGGAGACCAGCGCACACCCCAGACGTGTGGGGGGCAGGTTGTGTCCACCTCGGCTGTAGAGGCATACGAAGATTTCAGGACATTTTCCTCCCGCATTCCTCTAACTAGGAAGCACCTGGAGGATACGTGCCAGGAAATGAGGAAGAAAACCAAGAGGAAGGGCCGGGATTCGGGACACAGAACTAGCAGGAGGATGGGTCCAGGGAAGCCGGGATGAAGGGGCAGTGGCAGGTCTGGCCATGTGGGGTGCGACCTCACTTGTGGAACCCTGCGGAAGGCTCATTTTCAGAGTTGCTGAAGGATGTGGAGGACAGCAGTAGTTTCAAAGAAAACCAAGCAAATGAGTCAGGTTTAGCTGGGGCTGGCTGGGTTGGGGGTGGGGTAGTGGGGAGAGACTGTAGAAGAAAGGAAATAAATTACAGTAAATATGTCAGGAAATAAACTGTGGTAAATTAGCTCTCTTCTCCACCCCCCGCCTTTCTGCCCCCATCGTGGATCAGCTATGGGGCTGTAGCTGGGTACCAGGCCGATGAAAGTTCCTGGTCGCTGGCGGAGCCTGGATGGTCTTCACAAGCATGGGCTGCCTGGGAGGCGGGTGACTCGGGCCATCAAGGGCAGTTTCAGGGAAGGAGGGGAAGCTGGACCCTGGTTTTCTTCTGCCCCAGTGAGGGGGGCCCTGGGTGCGGAGGTTCTGTCTTCCCATGAGGGGAAGTGCAAGCTCCTACTGAAGAGCTCCAGACCTAGGGTGGGGGGACCCAACAGGTGTCCCGCCCACATTCCCGGGTCCCAGGGTCCCCCCACCTTACCTCTGCAAGATGTGTCCCCCTCCCTGGAAATCATACACGTGCTTACTTATTTTATTTAACAACCAAAAGAATTACCAAAAAAAGTACAAAAATGCTACATGCTTTTTGCAAATATGTGCAGGAATTGCAGAAATTTTAAACATTAATTGAAGGGGCGCCTGGGTGGCTCAGTCTGTTAAGTGTCTGCCTTCGGCTCAGGTCATGATCTCAGGGTCCTGGGATCGAGCCCCTCATGGGGCTCCCTCCTCAGCGGGGAGTCTGCTTGTCCCTCCCGCTTTGTCCCTCTCTCCCACCCCCACCCCTGCTCATGCTCGCTCGCTCTCTCAAATAAGTAAATAAAATCTTTAAAAAAATTTTTTAAAGTACGAAGAAATTAAAGTTCACCTATAACCTCAGTTATTCACCCAAACCTTTTCTGTGCATAAAGCACATTACAAAAGTTGATCAAGATGCAACTACTGATTTTAGCTACTTAAAACATACAATACATTGCAATATAGCTGCAAGTTGCTCCGAGTAAAAAATACCGTATACCATGTATTAGGTATATATTGTTCATACTTGAGAGGTACATTATAGTTTTGTTATGAAAGTATGTATTTTGCCCTACCAAATGGTAGGTGTTTTGTATACATACAGTGGAGAAATTTTAAGTGTGCTAAGGCACATGGAAGACCGATTTATTTGCACAAGGTACTGGGATTTTTTTAAACAGCTATCTAATCTCAAGGTGAAGATCTAAATGTGAACAGTTTACTAATGCACTACTGAAGTTTAAATCTGTGGCACAATCATTGTAAACATGGGGTTTGTTTGTGTTTCTCTAAGTTGATTTCTGCTTTCTAATCTGTAATTACTGGAAAACTCCCATTCCCATTTTACCAAACTTAATTCCTGGTTTTTGGTTTATCCATTCAAATTTACAATACCTCTAATTTTAATGCCAACAAAATTGGTTGTAATCAAATTTTAAAATAATAATATAATTTGGCCCCCCATTTAAAAAAATAATATGAAACCATTTACTCAGTCAACATTTTTGAGCACCTGCTCTGCGGTAGGCACGGTGTTCTTCCTGGATAGAGGGGAACAGACCTGGGGAGTCTACAGGTTACCCTGCCCTAATTTCAGGTGCAACGTGCACCAGGAAAGACAGAGCAGGCAGAGGAGATGGACAGCAGTGGCCTTGGTTTGGAGTGGGTCTCCTCACTGAGGACACCAGAACAGGTTGCTCCCCTGTGAGTATCCGGAGAAGAGCATTTCCCTTAGGGGACGGCGAGTGCAAAGGTCCTGAGGCACACATGCTTGCTCCTTCAGAGCACATCGGTGAGTCCAGGAAGGGAAAGATATTGGGAGCTTCTGGGGAGACAGGATTTTGTTCAGAGCCTGGTGGGGGCCTGGAGCAATACCCTTGGCTGTGATTGTGGGGGCGGGCGTGGGAGCCCCTACAGGACTAGCTGTGGGGATGCACGATGGGGCTTGGATGAGGGGCTGATCCTGGAAACCACCCAGGGCCTGGACGTGGGATGGGGGTCGGGCGACCCCATGGCGGCCCGGGTGAGGGCTGCGGCGCTGGAGCAGGCCGGGGTCGCTCGGGGCCCCTCAGACGTTGGGCAGAGACCTCAGGTTGTGAGGCCAAGCTCACCGGGTGTAGGGGTGGTTCCAAGTCAGGACGCCTGGTGGAGTAGGGCAGGGGCCCAAAGACCCTCAGCGTGGAAGAGGAGAAAGGAGCGGCCTCCAGAGGCCCAGGGAGGAGAGGACGAGAGAAGACCGCGCCTCAGGCACGCGGGTCGGCGGAGCAGGGCGTCTTCGGTCGCGCGCACGGGTCTGGTGGACGCTGAGAGGTCCAGGACTGGGCCGTTCCTGGGAAGCTCAGGGTCAAGGTGTTATATTAGTATTTCAAGAGTCTGTAAAACCTTTCGCTCCTTTTGATTCCCGCAACAACCCCATTGGAGCAGGCGGGGCGGGAGACGCTATCCTCACATCACCTACTGGATCGGACCGCTGGGACCCCGGGGCGAGGGGAGCCTGGGCCCGGCTTCCCTGCACCGCGCGGGCAGGTGCGCGGGGGCGCGTGCCTGCGGGCGAGGAGTAGAGGGCCTGGGGCTCCTGCGAGGAGCACAGGGGCCTCGAGGGGCATAAGGCACCCCCGAGCGGACAGACTCTTGGAGAGACCTCGGGGACGCGACGGGCGCACCGCGCGACCCCACCGTGGCGCACGCGGACCCGGGAGGGCGGTGCGGCGCGGGCCGGGGCGGG